CCCGTCCCATCCCAATCCCGCCAGGATAGAGAGAAAAAACCCCTGAGGGAGGGAGGGAGGGAGAGCAACCCCCGTTAATTGGGGGGTAAAAATAACCCAAACCTGCAGGAGCAGCCCATGGAAAACTCCTATAAAGTTGAAAGGCCCTGGAAGCCGGGCAGGCTCCTCGTGCCCATAAATAATTTCCTCGTGGATCAGCGGAAACAATGCAATTAGGGGCCGGCTGCTGCAGCACGGTGGGACAGCAGCCAGGCAGGCCCTGGGAATGCTCAGACATCGTGCAGCACTCCTCCCGGCTGCCTGGAGGCTTTTGGGCTTTCACTGGGTTTTTCTTGGGTTTTCTGTGGCTGAGATGACCCCAAAGTCTCTTTTTTCCCAGCCCCGCTACCGAAGAAGTCGGGATTCATCAGTTCTGCTTTTCAGGGTTGTTTATTTTTCCTTATCTATAACTATCTATTTCCATGTCTATAACTATCTATTTCCTTGTCTATAACAATCTATTTCCTTATCTATTTCATCTATTCCTTCTCTGACCCACTGAGGTCTGACTAGCAGGTTGGGTTGTGATCGCCCTTGGGGTGGTGTTAACTTTTATACTATTAACTACATGTACCTTATGTACAATAATTTTCCAATACCTATCACCTATGTTAGATAGTTCATCTCTACTCCAAACCAATCCAGGAGTGCCACCATCACAGCAGAAGATGGAGAAAAAGAAGAGGAAGAAGGACAGGACACACCCAGATTCTTCCATCTTGCCTCTTGATCTCCCATTCTAAAAACCCCAAAATTCTACTTTTTCACCCTGTGACGAATTAACCACCATTCCACTCAAACCCTTGTGGCTTGTAAATCCTCACACAAAGTTGGGAATTGTTTCCATGGGATAAAATCGAAGGCACGGGTGTTTTTGAGTCCGTGCCAAGGTCTCTGAGCCCCTTGCCAGGGTCTTGAATCACCCAGAGGAATGTCCTGGGTCCCAAGAGGTTTTTGCCTCCTTTAGACAAGACAAGGGCACAAAGGCCAGGCCTGGCTGCTGCAGGGACCAAGCAGGATGGTTGGGATAAGAGGGATAGGATGGTTTGGGAAATGGGAGTCATGTGCCCAGTAAGGAGCTGTGGGATGAAGGGATGGGCCTCCATGGGGCCGTGTCCATCCTCCTCATCTGAAAAAAAAAAAAAAAAAAAAAAAAAAAAAAAAAAAAAAATTAAAGGAGGCCTTGCATGGACACCTGGAGGGAGGAGGAGCCCGGACAAAGCCGGAAAGCCGCGTTTGTGGCGGGTTACCTGATCCCGGTGCGGGCTGAGGTGAGAACAGCGGCTGCCCGATCCTTATCTCGGCAGCACACACAATGCCCCGCGTCTGTCCCTGTGCCAGCATGGAGGGAAAACACCTCCAGTGCATTTCCTTCTGCTCAGCCCCTGGGCAGCAGCGAGGAGAGGAGGCCCAGAGCCAGTGACCCGCACGGGATCTGCTCTCCTGCAGGAAATTCCTTGCCCTGGGATTAACAAAGCCGCCAATAAACCTGAGCAGGATTTTCCTCTAAAAGCCCAGCGGTGCAAATCCTCTGGGATTTCTTCTCATCTCCCTTAGGAGATGGAGTGGCTCCTGCCACTCCATTTTTCCAAGGGAGTGAGAGTGACAGGGCACATCCATCCATCCATCCATCCATCCATCCATCCATCCATCCATCCATTCATCCCTCCACCCTTTGGACCCCCATTCCTCCATGCCCACCCTTTTCACCATCCACTGGCCAATCTCAACCCCAAAAATCTTCATTTCTTCCCAGTGGGGCACAGAACTGAGGGTGACCCCAGGCTGCGTCCCTATCCCAAGGAGGGGGGTCCCTTAGGGAGCCACTGGCACATGGAAAAAGGCTCCAGAGCTGGTTATTCCTCTGTCCAGAGGGATTTTCTCTGGAGGGAGTTCAGGCAGGATCCTGGCTGCAAAAGAGGGATGATGAGCCCAAGAAGGGTGACCAAATATCCCAGGATAATTTGGAATGGGGGGAAGGAAAAGGAGCCAGAGGGAAGACAAGGAAACTCCCTTTCCACCAGCCCGTTATACCTCCACGCTGAGCTGCAATTCCCAATCCCTAATTTAGGATATTTGAATCCCAAACACCACCTGGCAGAGCCTCCAGGGCAGTTTTCCAGCATAGATCTGCTCCCTGAGGGCTCTGGTTCTGCTCCACACCGGGTGGATGCTGGCAAAGCTGCGCCGGCCCAGGAGATGGAGCCACCACATCCCAGCCTCTGGCTCCTCCTGGAAAACCCTGGCGAGCCGGGGCCTGCCCAGCAGGAAAAGGCCCCTGAAGGGGATATCTTTCACCTCTTGGTGACTTCTTCCACAAATATCCCGTCCTTCAACACCTTTCTGTTGACAGAGTCTTTGTCAATAGCGCCTGAACTTCAAGCTCGATCCCAATCTCCGCTCCAGGGGGAGAACCGGTTGTGCCAGAAGTGCCAGCCAGAGGTGTCTGGGGGGGAACACGGCCCTTTCCATGGAAAAATTCCTCCTCAATTCCCTGTGTGCAAGGGAATCTCACAAATCCCTGGCTATGGGACACCCAAGGTGCTCGGAAGGGACAGGAGAGGTGGAGCTGCTCCATGGAGGTGTTGCTGGCATCAAATACATTTAAATTCCCAAAATACCTCTTGGATTCAGCAGCACGTGGAGAATAATCCACAAAGAGCTCCAGAACTTTTTGGGGTGGGAAAGGATTTTAAAGCTCATCCCGTTCCATGGGCAGGGACACCTTCCACAATCCCAGGCTGCTCCAGACCCTGTCCAACCTGGCCTTGAGCATGAACAGGAAAAGTTGTTTGTTACTTTAAAAGCGTCCATGAAAAAGTCTCTGGAAAAAACAACAACAAAATTTAAATATCAATATGCAGATTTTTACCTTGGAAGGGTTTTTTAAAGTGTTACTGGATTTAAGGAAAAAATGGAGCAGCAGAGGTGAAGGAAGCACCTTTATCCTATCAGCCATGAAGATCTGAAATTTAGGAATGGAGATAAAGTTCACCAGGGTTTCTCCGGAAAAATTAGAAATATTTATTGATTGTCACAGTCCTGCATTTTCAGCAAAGATTTACATTTTTCAAATAAGAGGGGAAAATAAATTTTCCTTTAAAAATAGTTTTGGAGAGGCAAAGCTCAGGGCTGGGTGGGTTTTTGGGCAGAACCTTTGGATGGCTCCAGAGGGAGTCATGATGTGCCTCTATGCACAGCTCCGGAACAGGTCAGGTGTCAGAATCCTTGACTGGGAAAACTCCTGGAGGGGGGGAAAATAGAGGAAAAAACCGAGAAAAGAGGCAGGAATGCGCTGCCAGCCTGGAGGCTCCCTCTAGCGCCGCTTCCCAGAGTTGCCAGGGGCCGGGGATCCTCGCATCCCAGCAGGAAAAGCTGAGGAGGGGACAGCCAGCAGAGCTGCCCTCCCCAGCCATTCCCTGCCCAGCCATTCCCTGCCCCAGCCATTCCCTGCTCCAGCCATTCCCTGCCCCAGCCATTCCCTGCTCCAGCCATTCCCTGCCCAGCCATTCCCTGCCCCAGCCATTCCCTGCCCCAGCCATTCCCTGCTCCAGCCATTCCCTCCCCAGCCATTCCCTCCCCAGCCATTCCCTGCTCAGCCATTCCCTGCTCCAGCCATTCCCTCCCCAGCCATTCCCTGCCCAGCCATTCCCTCCCCAGCCATTCCCTCCCCAGCCATTCCCTGCTCCAGCCATTCCCTGCTCAGCCATTCCCTCCCCAGCCATTCCCTGCCCCAGCCCTCAGGACACTTTTGGGTGCCCCTTTCCAGCTGGTGCCACCAAAACCCCGGAGCAGGGACCCCAGTGACCCTGAGCAGTCCCGGATCCCAGCGTGGCAAATCCCAGGAAGGGCTGACAGCAGCGGGAAGTGACAGCTCCCAGCCCTGGGGACATTCCCGTCTGCGTTCCCTGTCCCTGCCAGCGCACACACAGGCGCCACTCGTCAATGTTTGCCCTGGCTGAGCTGAGATGGATCCATGGGGCAGTGTCCAAAGCCAGAGTTTGGTGTTCCTGGATACACCTGGACACTCAGCTCTGTCCCACACACGTCCCCTTCTGTCCTGTCCATGTCCCCGAGGAGGGGGAGGCACAGGGACAGCCGTGGGGACGGTCATTGAGGAGCAAGGGACAGCCAGAGCATTTTCCAGCAGCTCAGGGGCTGCCCCAGATCGCAAATCCCCATCCCATGAGGAGCAGCCCCATCCCTCCGCGCCCTGGGGGATGTCACTCTCCCACATCCCAAATTCCCAAAACCCCAAATCCCCATGAGGAGCAGCCTCATCCCTTTATGCCCTGGGGGGTGTGACTCTCCCTGGTCCCAAATTCCCAAATCCCCATCCTGTCAGGAGCAGCCTCATCCCTCTATGCCCGAGGGGATGTGGCTCTCCCAGGTCCCAAATTCCCAAATTCCCAAATCCCCATCCCATAAGGAGCAGCCCCATCCTGCTGTGCCCTGGAGAATGTGACTCTCCCAAATTCCCAAATCCCCATCCCATGAAGAGCAGCCTCATCCCTTTATGCCCTGGGGGATGTGGCTCTCTCAGGTCCCGAATTCCCAAATTCCCTGATCCCCAAATCCCCAAATACCCAAATCCACATCCCATGAAGAGCAACCCCATCCCTCTATGCCCTGAGGGATGTGACTCTCCCAGGTCTCAAATTCCCAAATCCCCATCCCATGAGGAGCAGCCTCATCCTGCTGTGCCCTTGGGAATGTGATTCTCCCAAATTCCCAAATATCCAAATCCCCATCCCATGAGGAGCAGCCCCATCCCTCTGTGCCCTGGGGGATGCTCCCACTCCAAGGCCTTCCCAGTGCTCCATCCCATGGAATCTGTGTCCCCACCCGGCACCATCTCCTCCCTCTCCCTCCAGGACCGCAGCTGGTTCGGGGGGAAAACAAAACGGGAGAGGGATCTGGAGCTTCCCAGAGCACGGAGGGTGGGATGTGGCAGATCCCACGGGATGGGAGCCCGGCCAGGCCGCTCCCAGCAGCGCTGCAGCATCTCCAGGCGCCGGGAGATGGCAATCTCCATCTTCCGATGGCATTCCCGGCGCCGGGAATGAGCCTGATGGGGCCGCGACACCCCCGAGCTCCCAGCAGGGAAATCCCGCTCCAGCCCTTCCAGAGGAGCGGGATTTATTCCCCGTGCTCGAATCAATACCGGGTATTTACCCTGCGCCGCTTTATCCCGAATATCCGCCTCCATCTTCCCGAATAAACGGGGGAGAATTGGAGCGGCCCTGTTATCTGTTTGCCATCTGCCCCGGGTTTGGCGGCTGCTCGGGCTAAGCTCTGGATCAACACGGGTTTATTGGCTCCTGTCACTGCGGGCCGAGCTGAGTGAGACATCAAACCTCCCTCCTTCCCTCCTCCCTCTGCTGGGCTGCTCCGTCCAGGCAGCTTTTTTTAGGAAAGGGAGAAGAAAATGGGGATTTCGGTCAGATTTCCAGCATTCCGTTCCTTCCATGAAGGGAAGAGCAGGGGGTGCTTCCCCTCCTGGTAAAGGAGGACACAGCTCCTTGTTTAACCCTATTTCTAGGAATAAATATGGGATTAAGAAGCAGCCTGGGAATCCAAATCTTGCTTTCTGAGATTCCCATTTCTCCTCTCACCTCTGGAAGATGGGGTGGTAAAGGTGCAGACACAACCACAGCAGAGTAAGAGGGCACAGGGATGGGGTTGGCACCTCTGGAGTTCTTCTCATCCCTGGAGCTCATCCTCATCCCCTTCCCTGGGCAGGAAAGGCTCTGCCAAATCCCAGGGATAGACAGTGATGGAGCCTCCCTGCCCAATTCTGTGCAAATCTGGGATGGTTTTAAAAAAATGGTGAAAGGGTCGCCCCTGGGAGGCCTCATCCCGATGTCCCTGCCACAAACCCAGCAGGTGACAGCCACGTTTGGGTTTAATGACCTGTTCCATCCCAAAACGGGCAGTGGGGGTTGGAATCCTGATGGATCTTGGGCATCATGGTCCCACACATTCGAGGAGCAGGGGATTAATGAAGCAGCACATTGGCTTTATCCAGCTCCATTCCATCTGCCTCTCCCAAGTTTCTGAGGGGAAAAGAACCATGGAGATTTGATTTTTCCATCATTATAAAGGGAATAACCCCAAATTTTTAAAAAGAAAACATCATCTCTGCAGAATATCCCACGTTATACAGGTGGCATCTCCCTTATCTGGCTGTGAGGTGAAAGGGGACACTCATTCCCAAAAAAACTCATTGGAAACACAGCCATGGCATGTGGAAACACATCTCCTCCTTCCCACTCCTTTTTTTCCCCTTTTTAAGGGTACAAACGCCTCTCCACCGGTCCCAAAATTCACCTGAGGGAATTTTCACTCTGGGAATTTGAGCCAGGCGAATTCCAGCCTAAATAACCTGCAAATGTGCGAATGCAGGGCGAGCGAGCTCCTCGCCGCTGAGATGCCCTGGCTGGGTTTTTTCTATTACTGCTATCAGGAGGATCTCGGCAGACAGATGCATTTACTGTTTGCCGCCCGAAGATAATGAAAAGAAACAGTTTATAAAATCAGATTAGGGGTGGAAAAATTGCCTAATGATTATAATTCCCAACCCCGCCGCCGAATAATGATGTATTCAAGAGTTGTCAGCTCGTGATGAAAGGGGCCTCATATGAGAGATGCTCGCCTCTGAAGCATGACTGCGGATGAATTGCAGCCAGATACAATCCCGAGATAAGGGACAATGAGAGCCTCGAGAACACTTCAGAACGGGCTCCTCAGCACGGAGCCGGAGCCGCAATAAAAAGCGTGTGAATTTAAAAAAAAATAATAAAATAAAAATAAGTTTCCGAGCGGTTTGTGATAAAAGACCAGCCAAGGTGAAGGGGGGAAAAGAGGGAGAATCCCTCAAAGCCTGGTGGGGAAAGGGAAAACGCGCTCTGTAGGCCCCAAAGGGTGGGTTGGAAAGGGAATGCTGTGGTTTCTCCTTGGAAAATCTCTTCTGTAAGGCAAATCAGGGTGTGGGTGGGTGTGCCCCGGCTGGAGGGAGGGATTGGCTGCTCCCAAAGGCAAAGGATGGATCCACAAGGAAGGAGGGAAGCGTGGCTTGGGCATCTACCAGCCCCTTCCCAGCCCAGGAACCACCCATCTTCACCCTGCCCCAAATCCCTGAACGCCATCAGGGATTAAAGAACTCCCAAGGCCTTTCCAGGAGCACCCTGGGCATGGAAATGCTCCCAGAGCAGCACCAGGATGTGTCCCAGCAACATGGAAAAGCCAGGAGCCCACATTCTCCAGCCCCAAAACCAAAGGAAGCCAAAGGATGGGGTTGGAGTCACCCTTCCTTGGGGAGCAGCAGGCCATGATCCAACCAGGAAGCAGGGAAAAGATGGATTTTGCACGTTCTCCATGGTGGTCCCACCAGGAAGGAGGGAAAAGATAGATTTTCCCTGTTCTCCATGGTCTGAAATGCAGATGTCTGCGCTCAAAGCAGCCGTGGCACCGGGAGCGGCGATGATTTATGGGAAGCTGCACCAGCATTCATTATTCATGCGGAAAGCACGGGAAGGGCAATGATAGGGATCGGGAAGAGCTTCAAATCCATGGGGGAGATAAACTGGAATGGATGGCGTCACCCTGAGCGGGGATGGAGCTCTGGGGAACAGCTCGGTGTCACCAGGACAGCTGCACTGCCAGGACAAGGTGGGCACTGATTCCACAGCTGCATCCCAAAATCCCAGCGGGAATCGCTGCTCCAGATTGATGCCAAGGCTCTGTTTGCAGTGGATTCCCACAAACCTTCCTCAGAGCACATTTCCCTCTAAGATCCGCTGATTTTCAGCTCAAAATTCCACCAGTGACCCCAAACTCCTGGGTTATCCCACTGGCATCCAGGACAATGCTGCGGCAGTGTCACAATCCCAGATCCCAAAAGGCAGGCAAAGGCAGGAAGTGGATTTTGGGGACAATCCCGTGGCAGTGTCACGATCCCAGATCCCAAAAGGTGGGAAAAGGCAGGAAGTGGATTTTCAGGACAATCTCATGGCAGTGTCACAATCCCAGAATGATCCCACATCCCAAAAGCCAGGAAAAGGCAGGAAGTGGATTTTGGGGACAATCCTATGGCAGTGTCACGATCCCAGGATCATCCCAGATCCCAAAAGGCAGGAAAAGGCGGGAAAATATGAGAAAAGGTGGGAAAAGATGAGAAAAGGTGGGAAAAGGCAGGAAAAGGTGGAAAAAGGCAGGAAGTGAATTTCGGGGAAAATCCCATGGCAGTGTCATGATCCCAGAATGACCTCAGATCCCAAAAGGCAGGAAAATGCGGGGAAAAGGTGGGAACAGGCAGAAAAAGGTGGGAAAAAGCAGGAAGTGGATGTTGGGGACAATCCCATGGCAGTGTCACGATCCCAGATCCCAAAAGGTGGGAAAAGGCAGGAAGTGGATGTTGGGGCTCATGAACATCAAAGGCTTTCCTGTTTCTGATTCCCTTGGATAAAAGCAGTTTGTGGGATCAAACCCAGGCCTGCAACACCCAAAACTGGGCTGGCATCCCAAAAAAGCCAAATCCCACAGGAAACAGAGCCAGCAGCACGTCCCAGCCCAGCACATTCTCCCCACTCTCCCTTCGCAATTTTCACTGCCCTTGCTCAATTTTGGTTTGGATGATTGGGTGTTTGTATTTATTCCTCTGGCATTATTTCTATTTTTAGCTTCCCAGACTGCAGGGAAAAAATAAAAACAAAAACCCTTTAACTTTCCTGTGGGGTCTCCAATTCTCGCAGCTCATTCCCAGGGAATGCAGTGGGGCAGAGCACAGGAGCCCCAGCACCTCTCACCCCAGCACCCTGCTGGGCTTCCAGGGGCAGCACGGCCCTGCTCCATCTGGCAGCCAGGCCTGGAATTCGGGAGGAAGGAATCTTTGCCTCGTTTTCCCCGTTTCCAGCAGGATCCGTCTCTCTGTCACCTCGTTACAGTTCCTGCTACCGAATCCCAGCTGGGCTGGAGGCAGAGCACACAGGGAACAGGAGATCCCACAACTCTTTCATCCCCAATTTTCTGCCCTTTCAGCCTTTCTCCACAGGTCCAGCCAAAGGCACCCTGGATATGGACACCTCCAATCGCCAGCACTGGGCACAGATTTCAGCTTCCCAACCCTACCACGTGCCCTGGGAGCCCTGAATTCCCTGCAAAAGGAGCTTGCCCAGCTCCAAACCAGCTTCCCTGGGAGAGGTTCAGTCCCTTTCTCCACTGGAATATTTTCATATATTTTCATATAATATAAAATATATAATAAATATATATATAACATATATAACATATAACATATAACATATAACATATAATATATAATATACAATATATGATATATGATATATGATATACGATATAGAATATACAATATATAATATATAATATATAATATATAATATATATTATATATTATATATTATATATTATATTATATACCTTATATATTATATATCATATGTTATATATTATATATCATATATGTTATATATCATATATCATATGTTATATATTATATATTATATAACATATATTATATATAATATATAGAAATAATAATATAATATATAAATAACATATAATATAAAATATTTTCATATTTTCCCATCCATGCCATATTTTTAGGCCCTTTCTCTCTCTCCCTTCCTGGTTTCGTTTTTTGGTGGCTTTCTGTTGTTGGTGGTGGTGATGGTGGTGGTTTGGGGGTTTTTTTTTTTGGTTTTGGTTTTGGTTTTTTTGGTTTTGGTTTTTTTGGTTTGTTTTTTTTTTTGTTTTGTTTTGTTTTGGCTTTTGGGGGGGGTTTTGTTGTTGGTTTTTTTTTTTTTTTGGTGGGTTTTGGGTTTTTGGGGTTTTTTTGTTTGTTTGTTTTTTGTTGGTTTTTTTTGTTTTGTTTTTTTATCGACAGCGAATGTCCTCCTTTTGTCCCCGCTCTTTCTCTGGCCCTGATCCTGTGACAAAACGCTGACACCCGAGCATCCGAAGTGGCCGAGCCCGGCTCCCTGGAGCAGAGCCCCCATTCATGCCCTGCGCTCACCCCGTGACTGCGGCGGCGGCACAAACTCGCAGGGCAGCAGCAAAGTTGTTTGTTGTCCCTCAAACGCCTCCATTGTCCATTGTTGGGGCTCTCTCCTGAGCCACAAGGCACGGCCAGCGCCCTCGGGGCTCCTGGCATGGTGAGGGGACATCTATCCCGAAATTCTGCCCCATTTG